ACCGGTTCTTTATGAAAAGTAAATTTATTTTTGCAATTTAAAACATTGTAACATTTGAATTTTACAAAACATTTTTTGCTGCATGAATTAAAAAGCAATCGTGACAAATTGTTTGCACGTAATCCTATTCGACGTTATTCGTAATTCAGGTCTTTTTCAAACGACAGTATTTTTTTGACGAACGAACAATGTTTTAAAACGAACAGTCATTTTTATTTCACGAAGAAACATCTGAGAGCTAAATGTAATTTATCGTAACGAATGCATGGCGTTAATTATGAATCACAACGAGCTTACAGGGTGCAAAGTGGCTGTAAATTCGAGTACATTTGTGATAACCGAAATGAAGAAGTGAGTCGAGTAGAGTATATCGTGGCCAGAGTTCACGGAAGTCGGTATCGATTAAAAGTTGTCCTGTAACGTGCAATCGCTTGGGTGTGCTTGCAAGTTCCGTTTCTTGTCGGATCGGTTGTAAACTGTTTCTTCTGGTTGTTGTTCTTCCATTTGCTTCGTTGAAAAGGAAGTAAGATGTATCGAAACGATTGATAAAATGTCGTTAACAAATATCGCTACGACTGTGGGACATTGAAAATACTCCTTTTACTATTACATTACGAAACTCTGAAATTATCAAAGTTTCCATTAATAACCTCTCAAATTTTCAAATGCAGAAAATTTGAAAGACTCAAATTTTCAGATTTGTAAATTTTCAAAATTTCAAGCTTTAAAATACTCAAACTTTGAAATTAAAATATTCTTATAAAACAAAATTCGTAAATTTACAGAATCTCCAACTTTTATGATCTCAAATTTCCAAATACTTAAATTCCCCAGATTCAAAATTCCCTAAATTTCACATTCCCCAGATTCCAAATTCCCTAGATCTCAAATTCCTCAGATCCCAAGTTCCCTAGATTCCAAATTCCCTAGATCCCAAATTCCCTAGATACCAAATTCTCCAGATTCCAAATTCCTCATATCCCAAATCTCCTAAATTTCAAATTCTCCAAATTCCAAATTCCTCAGATCCCAAATTCCCTAGATTTCACATTCCCCAGATTCCAAATTCCCTAGATCTCAAATTCCTCAGATCCCAAGTTCCCTAGATTCCAAATTCTCCAGATTCCAAATTCCCTAGATATCAAATTCCTCAGATCCCAGGTTTCCTAGATTCCAAATTCCCTAGATCCCAAATTCCTCAGATCCCAAGTTCCCTAAATTCCAAATACCTAATTCCCAAATTCCTTAGATTCCAAATTTCCTAGATTCCGAGTTCCCTAGATTCCAAATTCTCCAGATTCCAAATTCCCTAGATTCCAAACACCCAAATCCCAAATTCTCTAGATTCCAAATTCCCTAAATTCAGGCTACCCTAGATTACAAATTCCCCAAACTCCAAATGCCTCAGATCTCAAATTCCCTAGATATCAAATATCCGAATCCCAAATTCCCTAGATTCCAAAATCCACAAATCCCAAATTCCCTAAATTCAAAAATCCCCAGTTTCCAAATTTCCTACATTGAAAATTTCCCAAATTCCCCAGATACCCAATTTCCCCAACCATAAATTTTCTAAATTAAAAAATTTACGAGATCCCAAATTCTCTAAATTCAAAATTCCCCAGATCCCAAATACGATAGATCACAAATTCCCCAGATTCCAAATTTCCCAGACCGCAAATTCCCCAGACTCAAAACTCCCTACACTCCAAGTTCCACGGATCCAAAATTCCCCAGATATTAAATTCTCAAAAACGCAACTCGACTTGTGAATATAAAAAAATTCTCAAATTTCTACAGTTCAATCGCAATTAACGTAAAAAAGTACGTAACAGTAAAAGGTAATAAAAATCCCACAGTAAAAACAAGAAAAACCTGTAACAAGGCAATCGGGGGAACTTCAATCTATAAACCGCGAAAGGAATAAAATGACAATGGTTCGATCGTATAAAACCGTATAAATCAATCGAAGTATAGGGATGTCTAGCAGCTAATGGGTTAAATCTAACCCGGGGTTTGGTCCAGTGGAGTTGCAGGATGCTCAGATAGGAGCCAGTTTTATCGCGGGATCCCATTCCCGTGTCCGTTGGTCGAGTGATTCCGGGCCGAGGTCGATCTTCGAGGGGTAAGCAACGTTCCCAACGACTCGTTGAAAGTCCAATGTGCCGACCGAAGGGTGGCCAGAGAAAAGGTGGAAAAGCGTGAAAGCTGTCGATGAAAAGTCGAGCGTCCGGCACAGATGGCCGGCTAATTCACTACTTCGCTTCAAGTCGTCCTAAATATCGGAATAAATTGTCGATGGAACGATTTTATACTTCGAATTGATCGGCCATGAAAGATAAGCTTAAAAATACCTGGATTTCGTTAAATATTTAGGGGGATGGGGAATTCGGGGCTCGTCTTTTCGGGTGGAAATCATTTGGGTATTTTGAGATATTGTAAATTTGGAGATTTAGGGATTTGAAGGTTTAGATCTTACATTCTCTAATAACCATGTCACCAAATTCATAAATTCCTTAATTACTGTATTAAAAAATATTTAAATTCTCGTCCGAGAAAGGTAAATCTCGTTTTGATCGCACGTGGGTTAAGATCAGAAATCATTTGGCGATCGGTGATTCCGATCGAAGAGATCGGTTTTCTTGGGAATTGATAGATCACCCGTTAGAGATCTTGCAGCCGGCTGCAAATAATCCAAGAGGGTTCGACTGGGTTTCTGGCAACGACGAAGGCGTTAGACACGCGGTGGAAGAGGTATAAGGTGGTGCCTTCAGCCACCAAGAAGTGCATTCAAGCGTATAAGCGATAAGGGCCATCCGATGTGGCCGTCGTCTAGCACCACCGATGAATACGGCCCTGGCGTTGCTCTTCAGCCTCTAGATTTTCGAAATGTGACATTTAAACATTTCTAAATGCCCAAATAGAACATTTAAAAATTTGTGTCTATATTAGAAATAAAAAATTTTTGAATACCTACATTGAAAATGAATAAATTTCTAAATACCTAAATGGAACATATGAAAATTTCTAAATACACAAATTGAATAATTGAAAATTTGTAAATGTTGAAATTAAACATCTAAAAATTTGTATATGCCTAAATTGAAAATTTCTAAATTTCTAAATACCTAAATTGAAAATTAAAAAATTTCTAAAAACCCAAATTGAAAGTCTGAAAATTTCTAAAAACCCAAATTGAACATCTGAAAATCTTGAAATTTCTGAATACCCAAATTAAACATCTAAAAATCTTTAAATACCTAAATTAAAAATTAAAAAATTCCTAAATACCTAACTTAAAAATTAAAAAATTCTAAAATACCTAAATTAGAACTTCAAATTATCAAAGCCAAAAAATCCTTCAAAATATATATCAGCATCTATTAATTAAAAAATGTTCAAGTTTACACATATGTCAGTATGCAGAAGTAACATATGTTGCAGGGAAATGTACATTGAATTCTTACTGGTAATCCATTATTTTTGGAATCATCCTTGTCATCGGGGAAATCGAGTCGAAGGAAAAGGGGCAGGGGTTGAAAGTGGTCGATAATGGAACATCGTTTCGACGTCGAAATCGTCGCTTCTTCGAGAGGATCTTTGCTATTGTCAATGGAGAACGAATGGTTTCTTCATGGTATTCAAAACTATCTGTCTGTCTGTATCTTTTGGTCTTCCTATAATTTTTTTTTGGTGTTGACTTTTTCTTTTGGAGTTTGGTTTCCTTTTTGAAGAGGAATAGGTTTTTAAGCTGAACTAGATTACAGTTACACTTGCAATTACTTTTGCAGTAACTCTTACAATTACACTTATAGTTAAATTTATAGTTATACTTATAGTTACACTTATAGTTACAATTATAGTTACACAGTTAAACTTGTAGTTACACTTAAAGTTACACTTGTCATTACACTTATAGTTACACTTGTCATTACACTTATAGTTACACTTATAATTACATTTATAGTTACACCTATAATTACACTTATAGTTACACTTATACACTTATAGTTACACTTAACATATAGTTACACTTATAGTTATACTTGTAGTTACACTTGTAGTTACACTTAAAGTTACACTTGTAATTACACTTATAGTTACACTTATAATTACACTTATAGTTACACCTATAATTACACTTATAGTTACACTTATACACTTATAGTTACACTTAACATATAGTTACACTTATAGTTATACTTATAGTTACACTTATAATTATACTTATAGTTACACTTATAGTTGCACTTATAGTTATACTTATAGTTGCACTTACAGTTGCACTTACAGTTGCACTTACAGTTGCACTTACAGTTGCACTCACAGTTGTTCTTACAGTTACTCTTACAGTGATGCTTACAGTAAAACTTACAGTTACACTTATAGTTATACTTATAGTTACATTTATAGTTATACTCATAGTTGTACTTATAGTTGCACTTATAGTTATACTTATAGTTACATTTATAGTTATACTTATAGTTGTACTTATAGTTGTATTTAAAGTTGCACTTATAGTTACACTTAGAGTCACACTTGCACTTATAGTTACACATACAATTACACTTACACTTACATTTACACTTACTTACCTACATTCAACAATTATGTCCAATATTTAAAAAATTGCAAATAATATAATGTGTTCACTTGCAAGATTTTGGTCTTCTAATTAAAATTATACACTTATGTTACAATGACCCATTGAGAAAAATTTAAAAAATATCTGAAAAATGATACCTACCCTTTATTAACAACTTGAAGCTTGACTTTTGAGTCCAAAATCATATTCAAAATTCTCATTTCATTAGTACTATCATAATAAATGACCTAAACTAATATTTCAATACCTATTGCAATACTTAACTACATACTAACTAACTTAATGAATAAATGTAATAATATATCATTAAGGTTGTCCATCAAATGATACTTCATTAAGGTCCTCCATCAAATGATACATCATTAAGGCTGTCTACCAAATATACCACTGCACATTTAATCATTCCTGAGTATTTATTTACAAATACATATCCAATAATCTAGATTTAGTTGCGCCTAGTTTCATACTAGCTTTCATCTCCTCATACATAAATGGCAATTTAGATTTTGATATTTGAGATACAAACAGATTCATGTGGTTGGTCCTTTGCCATATGGCTCCTGTGCGTTGGTGTAGAAGCAATATGCACCGTATCTGATCGGATTCATAATTATTCGTTTCTGAAATATATCGTAAACTTTCTATGTTCATAGAAAGATATTTACATGTTCTTGGGCGTTGCATCTCCGAAATAAATTATTCTCCCACTTTCCTCTGACTTGTCAACGCATTTATGAGCCGGGAACGCTTTGGGATTTTTTAAGGACTCGGCGTAGAGCTTGACGGACCTCTGATGGCTGCATAATTCTTTCAATAGAAATGTTTCGTGGTTTAAATAATCACTGTTGATTAAATTTCAAGTGCATTCAGTTTAATCGATGCTGTGTTAATGGAGTTGTGTTAATATGTTAATAGATATGTTCGAGGTGTCTCATGAATTATGAAGTGCAAATGGAAATTATTATTAATAAAATATTCAAAAAACATTGAAGATTTCATCCTTAAAAGAGTTAAAATAACAGATCGATAATGTTAGAATTCATGAAGCTTCTTATTTTAGAGGTTACAAGTTTTATAGGTTATGAAAACTAACCTATTTTACGGGTTATGAAAAGTGAGAAAGTGTAAAAGGTTGTTAATAACATAATTACTAAGATTTTTAATAAGATTAAGATTGTTAACAAGGTTACGATTGTTAACAAGATTAAGATTGTTAATAAGATTATTAGTAAATAAGTAAAAAATGTGAGTATCTCAAAAGTGTTAGTATCTTACAAATTACAGTTCATCACCGCCATTTTGATTTCTATCAAAATGGCACCCTACAGCAAATGTTACAATTAAATATAATGATGCAATTAATGTTAGAATAACAAATGAGCAGTCAAAAGGATAAATAAGAGAGTCAGATTAATAATGAATTGTACAGTTACCACTTCCAATGATTTTAGGACAACCAGGTTGAGGTACAACTCCCCTATTCGCATAAAAATCAACGGTCCCAGTGTCTATTGGGGTCCCATAAAACCCAGCGTCCGTATGAAGGATGACAACTGTTTCTGCGTCGGTAGGTCGGATGTGACATGTGGATGGGTAAAAAAGTGGGAACGCTGGATCCAATCCTGTAAAATTGATATTCGATTAGGTTCTGCTCACATCGTCATACATTATGGTTCCATTATTTTTGCATTTTTGTGATGCGGACTTTTATAATATATTTTTCAAGTGCTATTTAGTCAAATTTATGTATTTGCAAGGTTTTATATTTTCAAATTTATGTACTTTCAAATTTGTACATTTTCAAATTTAAATATTTTCAAATTATATACTTTCAAATTTCTATATTTCCAAATTTCCATAATTTTATATTTACACATTTTCGAATCCGTAAATACCCAGATTTCTATATTCCCAAATCCCTATATCTCCAAATCTCTATATTTCCCTATTCCAATATCTCCAAACTGTATATTTCCCTATCCTTATATTTCCAAATCTCTATATTTCCCTATCCCCATTTCTCCTCATCTCTACACCTCCCAACTCTCTAAATATTTAGATATCTCTATTTCTAAATCTCTACATCTCCAGATCTCCACATCCCCAAATCCCTATATCTCTAGATCCCAACATTGCCAGATCCCTATATCTCCAAACCTCTACATTTCCAAATCCCTATATCTCCAGATACCAGCACTGCCAGATCTCTGTATCTCCAGATCTCTACATCCCCAAATCCCCATATCTCCAAATCCCAACCTTGCCAAATCCCTATATCTCCAGATCTCTACATCCCCAAATCCCCATATCTCCAAATCTCAACCTTCCCAAATCCCTATATCTCCATATCTCCACACCTCCAAGTCCCTAAACATCTCCACCTCACTATCTCCAAATCCTAACCCCAAAATCCCCCATATTCCACTCCCCAAATCTCAAAATCCTGACACGTCCAAACCTCCACCTCAATATACCCCCACATATATTGCCACCGCATCAATCAAAGCGAGCAGCCATTTTCAACCACAACAAGGAGAATCGATATCGTATGTACTCAGTTTTCGATTCCCCATTGTAAGGTCTTCCCGAAGAGACGACTCACCAGTGATGCGAGCAAGAGTAACATTCATGGATCTCCCGATCTGGCCAGCTACGTGAGCACCCAAAGAATGCCCGATCACGTGCAACGTGTTCAAATCGATCACCTCGGAAAGTTTCTCCAGGAATTCACCGACCGCCTCTCCTATCACGGACACTTGGCTGGACACGAAAAGGTAGTTAATGTCGATTGCTATGTCACCCCAGTCCAACGCTATCAGGTTTACGTCCCGTTCCTCCAAATAGGCTGTAAAATATAAATTTCATTGCATCGTTACGTACGTATAACTCATACGACAATATCGTGACGCTCGCTGTTTAAATTTCAATCGATCGACAGTTTTATTATAGGTTCGTTTTTGCAGGACAATTTTCAGCTGCTTATGGATGTTACTTCAACGGAGTTCAATTTTGGTTATTAAATTATTACGGTACTCTTTAATTACTACGAGTATTTTGGTTCGTTCGGATTTTAATTGATTGATATTTCGTTGTGTGTATGTTCATTCTTGTTTAATTTGGCTGTGACAATTTTCTGGGGCTTTTGGGTAACTGACATGATTACATTGTTATGATACTTTCGGTTTAATTATTTTACTGCAGTTTGCGTGATCAATATTGCAGCTTTGTTGCATACTTTAGGTTCTTTTTGAATTGTGCACAGTTTATCACAATGAGTTTAACAATTTTTATGTGTGTCTTCAGATATATAAATATACACAGGTTTTCAGATATTGCACTTGGATATTTGCAAATAACTGTGTATGTATAATCATTATTGTAAAATGATCATTATTATCAAACACAATTAATATTAAAGTATGTGGAAGATTGTAGAACATGGTACACATGGAATCATCAGGATTCCCAAGTTAACTTTCACTTCAGTTTTGCTATGTTGACCCGAGTGTCTCTCCGATGTTCCACGTTTCACAAAAGCGGGTGGGTACAATTTTTGTGACACTGCCGAGGGAAAACAGTTTCCAATTTTCTATTGGTTTAGCTAAAATTCGGCTGGAGATGGAAATGCAAGTGACGTACAAAGTGGGTCTTTACCCAAAGTGACCTAAGCAAGTAATAAAAGCTACCTCGACACGAATAGTTCACAAAAGACTACTGCTCAAGGGTTCCGGATGTGACTGACGATAAAAAATACTCGCTAGAATGTGACTTGGATCTTATTGCTGCTGCGGGGAATTGATTTGAAACTACAAACGAAGAAACGTTGAATCGCTAGAAACTTGTACTGTCTGTAATATGCATTCTGTGAGCTAACAGATAAAATAGATTTGAGAACCACTGGTAAATTGGATGAAATAATTACAAAGTAATTCCCGTAGTGTGAGATTGAAATACCTTTAATAATCGTCTGGACATTATCAGCATCTGGATTTTCCAGGAAGCCGTGAATATACAAAATGGTGTCCTTGTCCCTGGAGACGTACTTCGCGATATCCTCAGGATTCGCTAATCTCACGTCACTGAAGGAGAACTCAGTGCTATTTCTATTAATTCGATGTTAAATATTAATTTTTGTTTCGTAAATATTAAATTTGTTTGTCACTAAATAATTTTTTTGTCACCAAAACACAATTTTCTTGACTGTACAGTGCGAGAAATATTAATTTATAGCTTCACAGCTAAAGTGTCAGAATCGCGTGAGTCGTAAAGAATTACATTAATTTTAATTGTTGATTAAAACGGTGAGAATGAACCACGTGCGAAATAACATTACGTATGCAATTTATCTACATTCAACTCTGATACACGCGTGGATTAAACAACTACGTGTTAAAGTAGGAAAGCAAGAGAAATATTCATAACACACGAACCCTCTGTAAACCATCAGACGAATTTTCGCAATGATGTCAGGATTACTTTTCGTGTCACCTGTTAAAATACACACAGCACGGTATTAATCGATGATTGTGAAATAATGTAAATTGCGTAATTCACGCTCTGTAGGAGACAATTATTTCATAATTGTTGACAATTTGCACGGACAATATTGATTTTCTACGTACATATTCTTGCTGCCACTTCGTCCTTAGCGACAATACACAATAGTACACAAAGACAAAAATGTATTATTCTCATTGTTTACTCAAAACAAACACAAAAAGAAAGTTTAACGACTTCGTGAACATTTAAGAAAGTCAACTAGTTTGACAGCTCGAATGTTCAAGAACTTATTGAAAAGAATTCGATCATGTTCACGTTGCTGATGTTTTTGTTACTTATGAAACGCATCGTCAAATGTTCGTAATATATATGAAACACGTCAGACTGTCACGTAACAGCAGTAATAAAGATGATCTGTAATCGACAGAACGATTTGCGTGTACAATAACTGCATGACTGTACAATGAATTCAAACTGGGATTATCTTTGGAGAATACGTCAACGCGTGTTGGGAAGTTGATGATTTTAAGACTGGAATTTTCTCACTAATCATTTTTTAATTCCAGCTGTTAAGTGAAGATTGAAGGCTTGGTGAAGAGGAGCATTAAAGGTAGTCAAGGTATCAAATAATTAAGCTTTTTAATTTTCAAACTTGGAAGTTAGAAATTGTTGAATTATAAACTTTTAAAATTGCGAGGTGGAAAATATTTAAATTCTTACAATTTCTAAGTTGTCGAATTTCCAAATTCTCAGAATAATAAAGTCTCAAATTTCGAAATTCTCAAGCATCCGAACTCCCTAGATCCCAAATTCCCCAAATCCAAAGTTCCCTAGATCCCACTCTCCCAAAATTCCAAATTCTCCAGATCCAAAATTCCCTAGATCCCACCCTCCCCAGATCCAAAATTCCCTAGATACCACCCTCTCCAAATCCCAAATTCCCCAAATCCCAAAGTCCCCAAATCCCAAATTGCCCAAATCCCAAATTTCCCAAATCCCAAATTCCCCAAATCCCAAATCTCCCAAATCCCAAATTCCCCAAATCCCAAATTCCCCAAATCCCAAATCCCAAATTCCAAATTCCCCAAATCCCAAATTCCCCAAATCCCAAATCCCCCAAATCCCAAATTCCCCAAATCCCAAATCCCCCAAATCCCAAATTCCCCAAATCCCAAATCCCCCAAATCCCAAATTCCCCAAATCCCAAATCCCAAATTCCAAATTCCCCAAATCCCAAATTCCCCAAATCCCCTAAATCCCAAATCCCCCAAATACCAAATTCCCCAAATCCCAAATTCCCCAAATAACTAAATTTTCAAATAAAAAAATTTTTAAATAACATTTCAGTCGCAAATAAATCTAAAAAACATAACTGGAACATATTATATGTTCCCCCGTTAAAAAGAGTGTGTTATACAACGCAGATAATCCCATATGATTAAAGGAAGAGGAGGAATGTAAATAGAAAGTGACCAGAAGAACGTTCCACTATCGTTGACCTTTTTAACGAGACTGAAACTAAATTATGCATTGTGTGCATACTTGTGCATAACAACAAGTCTCGTAATGACACGGAATGGTATCTGCAGCGTTCACGTAATCTCCGAGCCCGGCATTATATTTACTTCAAAATAATGCGACCGTATTCGAAAGAAATCGCACACGCGAGAATAAAATGGATCGACCATTCGTTTAATGGACGTTATTCATTAAAATAATAATTCCGTCGTTATTATTTTGATTAAACACGCTCGTTCAATACCGGGAGGGAAAGATAAATAAATTCCGGCAGCGGACGAAATTCTTGTAACGAAGTGTGGGAATTAAAAATTATTGTATTGAAAAATGTAAGGTATTCTTTGATCGGAAATTTGCAATTTTGTGATATGAATTTGGTAACCGGGCTTACCGTTAAATTCTATGGAATATCGTTTTGGTAATCGGAGCTGCCCCGATGATTATTAATTTCAAATTATTCCGCGATTATTACAAAAATTTCGCGTTTTATTTTGCGGCTAAATGCGTCGCGGTAATTCGTCGGATTTTGCAATGGAGCTTTGACGCAAATAATTTTCCAATATCGTGCGGTATTTGTTGAACTTCCGAAATATCTTTTTGCTGATCAATGCTTGGAAATAATCATCGATATAAAATTATTTCGTGTTTTTTTAATTGAATTTCGTATTTTAATGTTGAACGAAGCGGTGGACTTTTTCAAGTGTGGAGATTTTGTAGGATAACGGTGGAGTTTATGGTGGACTCTCTTTATATCGCCGATTTCAGTTCTTTTATTTTATGAATTATTATTAATTTATGAATTTAAGAATTAAGGAATTGATGAATTGGTCATACGGTGAATTGATGATTTTATGAACTGATGAATTGATGAATTAGTGTATCGATGAATTGGTGAATTGATGAATTGATAAATTGATAAATTGATAAATTGATAAATTGATAAATTGATAAATTGATAAATTGATAAATTGATAAATTGATAAATTGATAAATTGATAAATTGATAAATTGATAAATTGATAAATTGATAAATTGATAAATTGATAAATTGATAAATTGATAAATTGATAAATTGATAAATTGATAAATTGATAAATTGATAAATTGATAAATTGATAAATTGATAAATTGATAAATTGATAAATTGATAAATTGATAAATTGATAAATTGATAAATTGATAAATTGATAAATTGATAAATTGATAAATTGATAAATTGATAAATTGATAAATTGATAAATTGATAAATTGATAAATTGATAAATTGATAAATTGATGAATTGATGAATTGATGTATTAATTACTCTATGAATTGATGAACTAATGTACTGATGAATTGATGCTTTGATTTATTGATGAATCGATTACTTGGTAAATTAGTGAATTGATGAATTGATTCATTGATAAATTGATGAATTGATCAGCTGATGAATTAATGTATTGATGAGTCGATGAATTAATGTATTGATGAATTGATGCATTGATTTATTGATAAATTGATGAATTGATTACTTGATAAATTAGTGAATTGATGAATTGATTTATTCATAAAATTGATGAATTGATAAATTGCTCGATTGATGAATTAGTAAATTGATGAATTGATTTTTTAATCAATTGGTAAATCGGTGCATTGATGAATTGCTGAATTGATGAATTGATAGACTGATAAATTAATAAACTAACAAAATGATAAATTGACAAATTAAAAAACTGACAAAATAATAAAACAATAAATGAAAAAACGACACAATAAAATAAAAAAATATCAAAATACCTCTCAAAACATAACTATCCATTCCCATAAAGGACAAACACGTAATTTGTACCATACAAACAGTACTAATGCCCAAAAACCGAAACGCTCTAAATATATCGCAAATTCCAGTAACACCACAAGCAAACCATGCACGGCTTTATAACGAGACTCTACTGTATCAAATACAATAACTATCAAAGGTAACAACAGCGAGATGATTTGTCGCGATTTCCCATGCGTCGGTAAACAGCCGATCGCGATTATGCGCGAAATTACGATATATTCTTACCGTTGTCGCATTGTTTATCGGAAAATCAATGAGTACAGCAATATCCTTGAAATGTGCCGGTGCTCGCCGAAACTTTTCATCGGCACGATAGCAGAACACCGGTATACGATAATCCATTGAATTGTGCATAAACCTCGAAACCGCGAATAACAATCGAGTTTGCTCTCTTTGTGAAGGATTATGGCGGGAAACCGGCAGAGATTCCGAACACTGGTTATCGAACGAACGTACAATAGAAGCTGTCGATTGAAAAACATCGAGCTAATACAACCGAACGTTTTTATTTTTTCTCCGCCCACCGTATCTTCGTCGATCCCGCCGTTTATTATTTCCGATCGATGCCTGATTTATAATCGATATAATTTCAACGGAGACTTCGCTCGGCCGGATATTCGTGCAGAAATAGCGATTGAACGATTCATTTCGAGTCCGGTTAATAAGCATCCTTTACGTTTCGCGATTCGTTGTTTCATGCTGATTCGGTTAGCAACGATCGAATCCAATTTCATGGCTTCTACGTTAAGCTAAATGGAACTGAAAAAGGACTCGACCTTTTGTTATTCATTGATATCATTTAAGCTTCGATACGGAGATTGATGCGATATATGGGGTGGGTCATAAACAGATAGGTTTTATGTTGAAGGTGTATGAAGGTGTATCAATTATTATAGTTATTTTATATGTAATATTTTTTTTATATTATGTATTATTGCTGTACCAGAAATATACATACATATATGTAAACACACATACATGCATGCATACACATATGTAAACACACATACATGCATACATACACATATGCATAAATGCACATCTTTGTATGTATATACACATGTATACTAATATGCATGCATGCATACACATATGCATACGTATATGCATACACACATACACATATGCATACGTATATGCATACATATATGCATACATACATACATACATACACATATGCATATATATGTGTACATGCATACATACACATATGCACATATACATGCATGCATAAATACATATACTATACATACATACATATATACATACATACATACATACATACCTACACATATGCACATATGCATGCATACGTACATAAAAAAATGTGTAATTAAAAATCATAATAAAGAAGAATTCGATACCTCGCACTATACAAAAAGATAATAAGTAGAAATTAAATAAAGGATTACACAGATAGAGAGAAGCATGCAAAGAGAGAAATATAAGTATAAGGGTTTTCCACCCCTCGCATTTACATTCGATATTATCTGCCTGAATTTTTAGCGTTATTATCGCCGATATTAGCAGGATGGTACTATAGCTTTTATTATCATCTTACGAGTCTATGAAGCTACATTCAAGTTATGTTAACGATATCACCGGGTGCAAGGGGTCTTAAGCGCTCGTACTACCCTTCTTCAAGGATAGACCACTCTCATTGGATATAGTTATCTTCCCATTTTCTTAACGGTTCCTATACTTTTCCAAACTTTTCTAACGACTTCTCCGAAACTCTACGGGACACTACTCGTGATTTGGTGCTGGTAAACGTTTAATAGAAGTGTACTTTGGGTCTGAATAAAAATTGGTTAATAGGCTAATCTTTTTGTTATGGAAAGTCTTATTGTGATG